TAATTTCCCTGAATGGACTGTCTCTGATGTTACTGTATCATCGGTTTTTATTGTTGTGAATGGACCGTCTCCGATCTCTCATTTATTTTATCTCTTTCATTATTCTTCACAAGATAAATTAAATATTTTTAGTCTACTTTTTATGAATAATTTAATTAACAAATTAAATGCTCTTTTAGTCTACTTTTTATGAATCATTTAATTAATGTAGTATACAAGTTTATATTATACTTTATTGTACTCGAATTAATTTAGAAAAATTGATCTAAATAAAAGAAATTAAAATTTAAAAGTATTTATGAATGTAGTGTATTCAAATTATTTTATCTAATTGGTTATGTTTCATATTTTTTCATAAATATTTTCACATTTTCACTCCACTCCTGTATATTTTTTGCTCTGACCCTAATTATCATATAATCTATCAAAAACATTCTATTGTAGTTTATAATGTATTTTGTATTTTAACTTTATTATGATTGTTTGATATTTTGTCATTGACATTTCTAACGTCATTTAATCTTCGCCCCCACTCAAATGATTTTCTGGATCCGTCCTTGGTTGTTGCATCGGTTGTTGGTCGCCAGACGTCGTGAGCAGTATGGGACTCCATCGAACAGTCACCAGCGTCAACCTCGCGTGCTCCTTCGTTGAACCTCCTCGGCTAGCTCTAGGCGCTCCGGCAAGGTGAATCATCGGCCACAGACTACATCGAACGAGCGTAGGTAGTGATAAAGGACCTTGCACTCGTCGGCCGGGCGGTATCCCTTGACGAACAAAATCTCAATGTGTTTAGGGACTCCGTCTAGAATTCCGATCACTCACCGCCTCCCTCACCGTTCGTGGTCAACTCGTTACACTCCAGGAGATTGCGGACTTCTTGGAAGCCTAAGAATTCATTGCCGATGACGACTTTGGTGGTGCCATGCATTCACTGGCAGCCCTTACTATACGTAGTGAGGAGGCCAACGTAGTCGTGGAGGTCAGTCGCGTGGCGGCGACAGGCGTATTGGACAGAACTGTGGCAATGGAGGTGGCGGTTCACAGTGTGGGGGAGGCGGCAATTGGTAACATGGTTGTGGGAGAGACCAGCGTGGACGAGGCAACAATTGGCAGTCAAAGTGTCAACTTTGTGGCCATTTTGGTTACACTGCAACTACTTGCTACAGCCAGTATTCCACGAATTCATCTCCTCAAGCGCATATGGTTTATTAGGGTGATCTTTCCACTGTTAGTCTTGGTTCTCATACTTGGTTCCCTAACATTGGGCAACCAATCATGGCACTCCAGATATAGCTGCTCTCTCCACCTCTGAAGAGTACAATTGTGACACCCCGGAAAACCTTTTCTTGCAAACACCTCTTCTTCTGTGTTTTCGTGGCGAAAATGAACGAAAAGCGAGATAAGCGTGCTATTTTCATTGGCTTTACAATTCATATCCTAATTCCCCTTTGAAATTAGTTGAATGACCTAGTTGACCAAATTCCTTATCCTTTTAATGTGGTCAATGAGTTGTACCTTGGGCTTTAGCCCTTGTACCCTAGACTTTGTCTTTCTCCTAACTAGTTTTGGGAGGAAGGGGCCCTTTTGGTCATTTCACACAATGCTAGCATAAAAACCCTACCCTAACCAAGGAATCCAAATCATTTTTCAGGATTTCCATTTTTTCTACATTTCTTTCTTGCCCCCTACTCCTCCTTCTCTCTAGGAAATTCTAGAGTTGATCTTCACAAGTTTTTCAAGAAATCCCAAGCCAAGATTCCAAATTTTCAACACTACAAGGCTAGCAATGTTAAGATCCATCATTCCCTACCTTTTCATTACAAGATTCCTCCATCTTTTCTCTAAATCTTTCTTCTACCTTGTGGGTTTTGGGAGTTTGTAAAAGATTTAGTGGTGGGTGAAGTGCTAGGTTGATCTAGAGGAGCTTTGGTCTTGCTTTGAGGTTGAAGAAGGTGTTCTTGGTCTACAAGAGGTAACCCATGCTACACAAAACCTATTTTCACTTGATAATAATGATTATTGGTTTCTATGTGATATTCTTGATGTGTTGGAGTGATTGATGCATGATCTTGTGATAATGCATGTTTAGAGCTTGTATTTAAGGTTCTTGAATGCTATTGTATGAGCTATTCATAGTTTCAAGTCATATCTTTGTTGTGTGGAAGATTTGGGGTCATTTGGACTTGAAATTGGCCTTGAAAGTGGATTTTCGCGAATGCTGATTTTTGGGCCCTGATGTACCCCGCGGGTACTACCACGGGTGGAGCCCTACCCGTGGCCCCACCCACGGGGAACATATGTGGGGATTGAGGGGATTTGTTCCCTGTGATCCTTTCTTCTTGGTATTTGATGTTTTGACCCCCCGTTGTTGAATTATTGAGCTTTTGTGAGTCTTCTTGATGTTTCGTATGTCTAGAACGATGTGTTAGGAATCCATGTTAAAATTTTGTGTCTTGAATCGTGCTAAGGGTCCAACCTTGTGATTCGTTGGGCTAATATGAGTCTTGAAGGTTCGATTGAACCATTTTGGTTTACCCGTTTGATATGCATGCTAGTCTTGGTGTCATTGATGCTAGTATGTGTTGTTTGTCCCTTTCTATTGAGGATTGGAAACTCGTGTTGCCAATCATGTTGATATTGGATTGAGGTCCATTGTTGTTGTTGAGTATCTTTTCATGTCCTTCATTGAAACCCCTTGATTGAATCCCCTGATGTGATCCCGTGTGTATGATTATTCCTTGATTAAGCTATTGTTGAGCTTATCCTCTGTTGTACACACTTTGTGTGGAATCTAGGTGTTGTTGTCTCTCTAGATTTCGTGTATATTGACTCTTGTTGAGATGATGGATTGATGTGATGAGATGATTGAACTGGTAAAGTGGACAGTGTGGGGACTTATGTGTGATTGCATCCGGTAGTGGGTTTAAAGCTCCGGATTGCCGTTTGGTTACTTGTGACTTGTGGGCAACATGAGAAACTCATTCCAGTTGCCAGAGATGGTAGCTAACCCGTTGAGCTTGGAATCTCAATATGGGGTGTATACACTTAAAGTTGCTAGCTCTGCTTCCATTGGGGTACGGTCCTTGTCATTGCGATGACACTATGCATGTGATCCGGGTCGTTGTGATGACTACGTGATACATGTTTGTTGATGACTTGGAGTCCTCCACACTGATCCACTATGAATCGAGCCGTGGTGCTGACTCCACGGTATATGATTTGGTGTGATTGTGTCCTATGTGGACTTGGAACTCGTTATGGTGTGAATCTTGCCACTCATTGCTTAAGAGCATGTCTTTTGTGAATCCTTCTTTGTGTTTCGTACGTTGTACCTTGTTGTTGAGCTTGTTGCTTGTGGTTCTATTGTCTTGTTGAGTATGTTGGTCATTGACCTTTGTTGTGAGTGATTGATGAGTCTATTGATGTTTCCTCTCTCGGCTTTAAAATGATATATACTGTATTCCCAGTTTTAAATGGTTTTGATTATATCTATGTATATTATGATACTTAACGCGTGTTGGTGGGTTACCAGCATTATTCGTTGACCGGGTGTTATCCCTTATCTTTTACAGGTTGAGAAGCTTTGGAGAGCGCGCTAGTGGCCTGTAGATAGATTAGATCTCTTCATTTAATAGTTGTTGAGGCATGTGAGCCTAAGTAGTTGATCTGTTAGACTGCTTAGTAGTTAGTGCTGCCTGTGCACCTATTGTTGTGTAGGTGTGACATAGCACCTCCGTGTTTAGACGTTGCTTCCGTTGCTTAATGATTAATGTTTAGCTTTATGTCTCTTGTTTAAGCTTTTAAAATTTTTTGAAAATCGGGGGTGTTACAACAATGGTAGTGACACGCTTCGTGACGGTGATGAATAAAGTGATATAGTATATGCTTCCTTTAATGCCTCGTCTAGGTCGTTCAAGTTATCTAATATTTCGTATGTTCTTAATCTGTCTACATCTTTATTGTCTGTCCAACGCTTTGCATTAGACAATAAAGTGTTTTTTAGTTTCACCCGTATTTTTTGTTGTGAAGGATATCACCACCAAAGCGGTTATACTCCGGGGGCAATAGTTCTGGTGAACTATACACGTTACCCGTTCCACGTTCGTCTCTTTCTACGTTTCTCTCCGCTCGCGCCTCTGCCTCAGTTTGGCACGATCGCTTGGCCCATCCACACCAACGTGTTCTTAGTCGTGCCCTTCAGATTTGTTCAGTTAGTGGATCTAGTCATGCTATTCGTTGTAATTCTAGTTTGTGTTTTGCATGTCAATTGGGAAAATCTGCACATTTCTCTTTGCCACATGTTGAGTCGTCTAGTTCGAATATTCTTGATTTAATCTATATTGATTGATATTTAGGGTCCAACATGACCGGGTTTTTGGCTGTGCAATCTGGGCTACTGCACAGGGCCCCAAATTTTAGAGGCCCAATATTTAATTTTACCTAGTTAGTTTAGAAATAAAAATTAAAAGTTTTCAATTAAATTTAAAAGGCTCCATGAAGAAATGGTAAGAATGTGTGTTTATTGTATTTCAACTTGGAGGTCAAATGTTTGAAACTTGCATGCTGCTTTAGCTTTGGACTTCTCCTCCTATTATAATTGTAATTTATTCCTTAATATGCCTTTTGACTTTTTCTTTGCGCACATTAACATTTTACCTCCTCCTCCTCCTCCTCCTCCTCCTTATTATTATTATTATTATTATTATTATTATTATTATTATTAGAAAAAAATAACAGTATTTGTTTTACATATTGTTATTTTGGTAGGGTCTCATTTATTTACCAGAACAGGGCCACAAAAATTTAAAAACCGGCCCGGGGGTCCAACTCCTTTGTTGTCCTCTAGTGGTTATCGTTATTTTATTATCTTTGTGGATGATTATTCACGTTACACTTGGTATTTTCCCATGAAATTGAAGTATGATGTGTCATTATTTTACTATTCGCAGAATTTTGCCTTTGTGTATCTGTTGGTTTATGTTGATGATATACTTGTAATGGGGAGTGATCAGAATCTAGTGAATAATTTACTGTCTAAGTTGTCCACAACATTTAAGATTATGGATCTTGGTGAACTTGGATTTTTCTTTGAAATTGAAACAGTAAAATGTGATGATGGAATATTACTTTCTCAGCAAAGGTACATGCCAGATATTTTAAAACGTGCTGGCATGACAGACTGTAAACCATTGGCTACTCCTATTTCTGTCTTGAAATCTGTTCCTCTCAATGCAGATTTGTATGATGATCCTACTCAGTACAAGAGTCTGGCTGGGGCGTTGCAATATCTCACAGTCACACAGCCTGACTTATCCTTTACAGTCAATCAGCTTTGTCAACACATGCATGCTCCTACGGTCTCGCATTGGGGTACTGAGGTAAGTTAAAGGAACTATTACTTATGATCTGCGTATAAGAAAATCAGTGTCAAGTGATCTTCATGCGTTTTCTGATTCTGATTGGGTTGGTTGTCCTGAAGATTGTAAGTCAACTAGTGGTTATGTTGTGTTTCTTGGTTCCAATCTTGTATTTTGAGTTTGTAAGAAACAAAAAACTGTTGCTAGATCTTCTACTGAGGCTGAGTATAAATCTCTAGCAGATGTTTGTGCTGAAGTGATTTGGATTTTATCATTGCTGCGTGAGATTAATGCCCCAAATATTCATGTTCTTAAGTTGTAGTGCAACAATCTTGGGGCTATATATATGTGTGCAAATCTGATCTTCCATGCCCGCACCAAACATGTGAGATTGACTATAATTTTGTTAGAGACAGAGTGACTTCTTAAGATATTCAAGTTCATTTTATTTCGATCGAAGATAACTTGCTGATATTTTTATTAAAGTTCTACCTAGTCTTATTTTTTTTTCTTAAAGACAAACTACATATTACTAGTTTATCCTGTGCTTAAAAAAAATATTAGGACTCATGTATTTGAGTTAGATTATAACTTGTCTCTCTAAGATTCTCTCATTGTCCATTAAAAAAAAAAAAACTCATCATAAATTTATGTTAACCAAGCCGGTTTTTATTTTTAGGATTAGTTTTCAGAAATTTTCTACTTCCCAATCCCGGATGACTCTTCTTCACTGTGTTCCACATGCAAATTCAAGATATTTCACAGATGAACTAAAAAGATTTTCCTCTCTTTCCCTTTGACTCCGCGACTTCTGGACTAAATTCCACATTCGTCTTAGCCTTCGTCAAATTTCGGGAGAAGAAGCAGTTTCTTGTTCGAATCCAATTCATTCCGGGAATATTTAGGGTTTTACAGCTCGAAAGACAAAAGAATCCGATTCAAATCAAATTACACTAGAAATGGGAACTTTTGTGCTCTCACTCGGACCCAAGATAATCCTATCACCATTTCCATGCCAAACTAGAACCCTAGCCCCAATTCCCACCCGGACCCATTTCCGAAATCTTCCACCTCACAAGCCCTTCCTACGGGGCACGCTGGGCGTGGCACGGTTCGGACTGGGTCAGGTTCCATTTCCAGACCCTGAAGATGCTGAGGTAGTAATGAAGAACTTATTTGCTCGAGTTGAGGGGGTCTTGTATACTATCGCTGATGCTGCGGTTTCGGGTTCCCCCGATACGGTTTCAGCTGCTGCTACTGCAGAAACTGCTAAACAGAATAGTGACTGGCTATCTGGAATCGCCAATACGATGGAGGCAGTTTTGAAGGTTTGCAAAAGTTTAAAAATATTATTTTGATTGATACTCCACGCTTTATAGGATTCTAGTTCTTAGATTCCTCTCATCAGGTTGGAAAGCTGGTATTTTGCAGAATTTCAGTTTGGAATCTATATATAAATAAAATTGTAATTTATGCCCCTCTATAATATGTCAATTAATTACTCCTGAATTATTAGTGGTGTAAACGTTGCCCCTCAATTTTCAAAACAGTACATATAGTGCCCCTCAATTTTCCTCCCGTGTACGGGGGCAATATATGTACCGTTTTTTAAAATTGAAGAGCAACATTTACACCACTCGCCACTGAAATTGACATATTTCTATTATGGAGGGGTACTGTTTAGCTGTAAGGACATTAAAGGTTGCATTGAGTAATACTGGATTGCTGAAGAAATTGATAATTTTGTATTATGAGCTATATTTGGGTTGATCAATCTTTTAGCAATTCAGTAATCAATCACGAACTGCTTGATGACATGTTTAAGGTGTACTTCGACTTCATTTATTAAATGGTTCTCTGACTCTCTTCTCTCAATGCTCCATTCTTTCAGAAATTAATAAGGTTGATGCTTCATTTTCAGGTGCTGAAGGATGGACTTTCTACTCTTCATGTGCCCTATGCTTATGGTTTTGCAATTATACTGCTTACTGTACTAGTAAAGGCTGTCACTTTCCCTCTGACAAAGAAGCAGGTTAGTTCCTGTTGCAAGGTTTATTGTATTTTCAGCTTGCTTGCAAATTAATTTTTCTAACAATAGGATAGCAACTTTTCTTACTGGCTTTTTAAGTCTTCAATAGGTGGAATCTGCAATGGCAATGAGATCTTTGGCTCCCCAAATAAAGGCTATTCAGGAACATTATGGTGGTGATCAGGTTAGTGGTTTCTGACCTTAACATATCTTTTCCTTTCATTCTCATTAAACTAAATATTAGCATTATACATGTCTATTATGCAATAATAGGTGAATTCTAAATAGAGAAGTGCTCCTAAAATTTTTAACCCAAAGATAATTTATGGTTCACTGAAGGTCCAAAACACCTGCAATTTGCTGTTGACCCCAGAACAATTGCGAAATCAGATGCTCTTTGAAAATCCTTGATTAATGCTCTGGGTCATATTAAAGTTTAGAAATCACCCCGTTCCTCTCCTCTGATTATTTGTTATAGGCGGGCTTGTGCTCTGCACTTGAATTGTCTGTGAATTCATCCATTTCATCAACAGTGAAAATTTTCTTTTACTGACATAGTTTATTAAATTTCTCTGTATTGCAGGAGAAAGTTCAACTCGAAACTGCCCGCTTATATAAATTGGCTGGCATAAACCCATTGGCAGGTGCTTAGTATAAAGTATTGCACTTGTTTAGTTTTGCATAGATTTAAGAGTTCATATCTACATGCATGCCACATGAAAATAGATAATCTCAGTCTCATTTTTTATTTTCTGTTGTTTGATAATTTCAATACTTTAAATTCCTACGCTTGATATCTTTTACCTCTCTTGTTGTTAGGGTGTCTGCCAACGCTTGCTACTATTCCTATATGGATTGGGCTGTACAGAGCCCTTTCTAATGTTGCCAATGAGGTAGAGGCCATTTTTCTTTCTTTGGCTATTTTGATCTTTTTGTGATGGTGCTGGGTTGGTACTTGGTATTCGGGTGTTCTTATGTAGTCTCAGTGTCTCACTAAGCAATGTTGTATCTAACTAGGAGTTTTTATTTTTAAGGGACTCCTTACAGAAGGCTTCTTCTGGATACCCTCACTGGCTGGTCCGACAACAATTGCTGCTGCTCGTCAAACTGGAAGTGGCACCTCTTGGCTTTTTCCTTTTGTTGTTAGTCACTTACTATATTTTCCTCTCTTGTTGAATCTGTTGTGGCTTTAAGATGCTTTGGACCTCTTCTTCTTTGCTTTAAGTGGCATCTCTCCTTCTCTTTGCTCTTTTTTTCTTTTTTGGTGGGTGGCCAATTAGTTTATGCACTTGTTTTAACTAATATTATTCTCTCACACAGTCACACTGGTCTTGATTTAATTGTAATAGTTGCATGCTTTAATTGATATATCACATTCTGCATTTTGGGATTAGCTTGCTTCTATCAGTTATTGCTGCCAATGGTTCAATCTAGGCTTTCTCTAACCACAAATATCATTGAGATTCTTCGGAGGAAGGGGGAATTTTATTTATTTATTTTTCGTCCCTTGTTTCTCTTACCCGAAATTCATCAAGTAAATCACATGATTCACTGCCTCATTCTTCTTACAGCTTGATTTCAGTCACTTCTATCTTTATGTATTATTATATTGCAATCTCTTTACAGGATGGTCACCCCCCTCTTGGATGGTCAGATACTTTGGCTTATCTTGTCTTGCCTGTGCTGCTTGTTATCTCCCAATACATCTCCGTCCAAATCATGCAACCACCACAGGTTTGTTTGATTGGAATTTGGAAGTTACAATTTTTTATATTTTGGGATGCCTGAAAGAGGAAATACATGTGGTATTCTTCCTGTTGAAGCAGCAACCATCCTTTCTTTTTATTGATTACATATTATACAAGTATTGCTTTCATTCCATTTTTGGCTTTGAATTCTCACCTATTTTGAACTATTAATGATCAGTATAATGCTTCCTACCCTTACAAAAACCACACAATTTTTGCCACTCCTTGATGTGGCTATTTTTGTGTGGTCAATGTTAAGAGTCCCACATTATAAAATAAGGGAGAACATATGGGTTTATAAGGCCATGAGTTAGACTAGCTAATTGGTTGGATTCAATCTTTTAGTGTGGTTTGACCCATGTGCATTATAGCCCAATTGAGTGACCTTAGCCCAATCTTAAATTATAACAGTTGGAGTGGTTTTTTTAGGGGCATATAGCATTGTCCAATGTCCAATTGCTATATTATGCCGACCTGTCATTGAACCTCAACATACTCATGACAAACTGAAGCAGATTTTTATAGTCTATGCCTTTTTGTTCTCTCTTGCTGACTCTTTTTGTTAATTTTTTTTTTCCAGAGCAACGATCCAAACCTGAAGAACTCCCAAGCAATAACTAAATTTTTGCCATTGATGATTGGTTATTTTTCCCTTTCAGTACCTTCTGGTCTAAGCCTATATTGGTAAGTAGTTCAACTGCATTATGTTTTGAATCTGTGCTATGGAATTTGCTTATATTTTTATATTTATCTTCATTAATTTGGAAACTATTTTAGCCTTCAGCCCTAATTTTTTCTTACTCACAAGTGAACCGGCAAATTATGAAGTAAAATGAACTTTTTTTAATGCAGGCTCACAAACAACATACTAAGCACTGGTCAACAGGTTTGGCTTCAGAAATTGGGGGGTGCTAAAAATCCAATAAAGGAATTAAAGGATGATACTGTCAGGAAAGAACAACCCAAAGTATTGAATTCTTTATCTGAAGCACCTATAGCTCAGAAGAAAGACGAAAACATAACTTCAGGAGGGCCTCGCCCTGGTGAAAGGTTTTAGATAATCATGAGCTTTATAGTAACTCATTAATAACTTGGTGAATGCTTTGTGTTGGGCGGTGGCCGGTAAAGGGCCAAGTCCAGCAATTGGTGGCTAGGGCCTAGGGGGATTGTTGGGCAGAGGCCGGTGAAGGGTCAAGTCCAGCACTCTGCCTCTCGAAAATGTGATGGCGGTCTATAAGGAAATAAAGTTGCGCCTTGCTATTAGTTATAACTTTTGGCGTAGTGGTAAGCGCTTATCCTAACTAGTAGTATCAGAGCCAGGTCACGGGTTCGAAGTGCCGAATCCAGCACCCTGCTTCTCGAAAATGTGATGGCGCCTTCGTTATTAGTTATAGCTTTTGGCGTAGTGCCGTAGTGGTAAGTGCTTGATCCTAACACTTTGTTTCATACTTATATAGTAATTGCTTTTTCCAGGTTTAAGCAACTAAAGGAAGAGGAAGCTAGAAGAAGACGGCAAATGGAGGAAGCGAAAAAGATAGAAGAAGA